ATTAAGCATCGAGGAGCCAATTTGTATTTATCTTGGAATATAAAGAAAACATTTCACCCTCAGGCCTCGAAAAAAAAATTATGGTCAATTTTATGCGATGTTTTTTACTATTTTGTTAAAATAGTTGTAGGATACAAATTTTGCAGCTATCTTCAATTTGACGCCGTTCAGTGCCGAAATTAGTGGGAATAAAATCGACCCGCGTGTTTCTGATGGTGCCACTGACCAAAAAGGCATTAAAAAAAGGAAATATTTAGACATTATTCTATAACAACGGAGAGATATAACCGCCAAATGGTGTCAATTTCCATTGCATTTGAAATATCAGCTAGACGTGGGAAATATTTAATAAAATCAAGGTGTTTCCATTAACTTGTCTCGTATCGCACCACGTGGTACGCCAGGATTCACACCATATGGTAGTGCATCCGCGGTGTGTCCAATATGTTATACATACCACATTCCCTCTATGGTGGGACTGTATACAAACTACTATGTGAACTTTGCACACACAAAAACAAATAGAAGACGAACAACATTTCATCATGACTTGTCCATTTTACAATGACCAAAAAAAATTAATATTTGAGAAATGTAAGAAACAAATTAATAATTTTGATAATTTTACAATTAATGAACAATTTGCACTGACAATGAATTATAATTTTACCTCATTTCATATCACACTCGGACAATTCATTAAAACCCTTAATGCATTAACACATCATTATTGTTATTACTTTTTTAACAATGGCATGCTAGACAAAAAAGTATGACAGACATGTTGAGTCTTTAGTGATGCTTCGTCGCAAACTACGATCTTTTTACGTCAACTTCGAACAGAAAGCAAGCTCTCGCGGTGGAGAATATAATGACGTTGTCTGTTCGTTGTACGTCGCCGAGACAACAATACATCAATGATAATATAGCTACATAATTCCGTTATAGTTACAGGTATCCCATCACGTGATATAAAACACTGATTGCTGAGAAATAATTTGCAATGCAGTTTGTTATTTGAAATATCGGAGATATCAGAACAGTCAAACTAACTCGTGTATTAGCGATCGTTTCTCTAACTCGAGTATGTAACTAACTTGAAAAGGAACGAACTGCCAGGTGAGCCCAGAACAACTTAAAACTATTGCAACCAGTGACCCGGTCATCTATTATGAAAGCAATAATCTCAACTCTGAAAACGACTGTCAAGTGTTAGTTACAATCAAATCCTAGCCACAACGTGTCATTTTCCATGTGAGTTGTTTTATTGTGAGTTGGTGGATGGGCACGGTTTAATAAACACTCTTTTTTTTAAAGTGAGTGATTTGTGTATAGGTGGTTCTATTTTCATCGTGATGGGTCGCATGCTTGAAGCGTGGTGACAGGTGCCCAGTCGTGAGTGTCTTTTGAATACTTCTTACTTCCCCCACAATGGGCCAATTTTCGCTTTATGTTATTAATACAGTGACTCTGTTTCACATTTTGATTACAATACCATCAGGTGGTATACGCGATGTCTTGTAGCATTTGTAAGATCAACTCCCGTCTCGCCATGGGGACGGTGGATTAAACCATTGACGGGAACATGAACTTGTATTATTCTGAGTTTCATTACCGCAATGTAATTGCCTTTGAGTCACGCTGCTTGATTGACATTCTAAGACTTCACGATGTTTTATTTAAAACATGTTTTATTTTTTAAATACAACCATGCCACAAGCGCCTGTCATGGTATTATATAGACCAATTTATTCCACTTGGTAAATTGACGTCAATTGATGTAAAGCACATCTGCCCTTCTTAGATCCTATGGACAAGCTGTCCACCTTGGCGTCGTATTGTACTGGTAGTTGTTCTTGTCAAATAAGGTTTCTGTTTCCAATATAGGGACTAAATACACCGGCGTGCTGCATAGTCGCGTGCGTGAACGTATTGAAATTCAGCACTTAGAGCGTTCACATGTTACGATTCTTGCGATTGGTACATTGTATTGCTGCTATGACTTCAGCACCCATTGTGATGGTGTATCAGCTTGATTTCCTTAATTAAAGAGAAAACTGCGGGTATACCATCGTGATGACATTAGAATATAATTGCAAACCGTCAAACCTCGATTGTTCTAAATAACGTATAATTATCAATGCTAATTTGATTCACAAAATTAATTAGACGATAATTATTAGTTGACAGTTGAATACTCATTGGTGTACGTAAATCGGTTTATATCGTTTTATTGCGAAAATCAATTTTATTTAATTGTCGGCATCTCCGTTTAATTGGCAACTTCTTAGAGAATGACATAGCAAGATCGCTCAAAGAGTGGGGGTCATACAGATACCACGTACATAGGTACGTACGTAATTATGTTTTTGTTGTAACGATACTCTTGTTTGAGTGAAAAGCAATGCGTCTTTGTCCAAAACAACGCCCAATGTGACACACAATAATACAAGGGGTATTGATTATTTACTAAACCTATAATCTGAGCGGCCAGGCTCAGTTCAGGTTTAGTTAACGAGAGGGGTGCGGGGGCGTACAGCATTTGTCTAACTCTCTTCTATCGCCGCGGCTGCTTGGTTAATACTTAGATTCCATGGTATACTGTACAAATGGATAGGTGCCCGAGGCCAAGTGCGAGTTGACTGTCTAGTCATACGGTCAGTGGCCATACATGTGTGATCGGTTCTTTAAACATGCTGTTGAACTTGTTACGTTTTGAGTGCCAATCAATCACGGGTAAGTTGTTCAGCCAGCATCTCTGCTCAACACTACATAGTTCTAGTACTAGTTTGCAGCGTTGGTCTAATTCTTCAATGTTTTTAAATACTAACGCAATGTTTCGTTTCTTTCAGTTGAAAGACCTACCGTTTTTTTAATTGAGGTCACAGTGAGCCGACCTTACTAAATAGTTTGACTTTGAACCATTGTCGATATTTCATCGTTCGGGATATGCCGCTTGTTATATGTCTTCATACCTAAACGGGAGTAGTCAGACTCGATTTCTTACACAGAGATATTGTAATTGAAAATCGCTCGCCAAGAAGGCGACTACACGCCAAATTACACGTACTTAACATAGTGAATAGGTTTTTTTTCTTTTTTCAATAGAGGTTCGCTGAAAGATCCCTATGAAAATGCGCCTGATAAAATCGGTTGAAATTCAATCTCGTGTCGTCCATTGAAATACAAAGTTGTTAATATTGGGTCATGGAGATATGGGGTATGATATTCTTTGTTACACCTGTCTTAACCAACAGTTTGTTGTTACAAACGTTGGGGTGTGGGTGAAGCGGAAGGAAGGGGAGGAGCATCTACCACCGTATATTAGCGTATTAATTTATTATTTTAGAAACCCAATATAATACTACCTATGCCGACACGTTGCGAGCTCTTTCCAGTCTTGGTTCTGTGTCGTCTTATATGGTAAATTTATTTAATTTATCTGTCCATAGAAATTGCACGTCAATTTATAAATATAATTTACCATTGTGTGTGTAATGTTCTTACAGGGTAATATAAAATGGATTCTACCGATGCCTTACTATGAAAACAAATCGAACATGTCTTCAGACGAAGAAGATGTTACCTCCTCTATCATATCATCGGAGCCGCTTAAAGTTGCTATGTGGACGGTAGCCTTGGTGACAGTTTTTGGCAATGCTGCTCTACTTGTCGTCAGACAATTCCTTAAAAAAGATACTCCTTCATACGCGGTTCTTTTCACGGCATTGTCAGCGTTCCACTTTCTCATGGGTACTTACATCGCTATAGTTGTATCTCTGGACCTGTATTCAACACATGGAGGCATACTCAACGACGAGTGGGACAATGTGTGCATTTTTCTTGGATTTCTGGTATCATTTGCATTCCAGATGGCTCTTGCTGTCGTTTCGACAATCGCCATCAGCTTGTTTATGCAACAGTTGTTTCCCAGAAAACTTAAAAGAGGCAAGAACTATGCAGGCTTGTTCAGGATTATTGTGCTGGTGGAAGTGGCTTGTATTGCTTTGCTGTCTGCGTTGCCCTACACATCACTGCCGTACTTCAGCGACGTGGAAACACAGAGCCATGTTTTTTGTCTCAGGATATTCTTCCCCTCTTCCTCAGTATGGACGTACAGTGCTTTTATTCTAGCAGTAAGTTGCATTCAGATGCTGGTCATTCTAATGTGTTTTATTTCTGTGGCTTGTCACGCGTATAGACGACGACAGACAATAGTTAATGTTCTGCCCATCGAAGCAAGGGTCATCAAACGGGACAGCGTGACAATAACTAGGCTTGCATGCATAATATTGTTACATCTTATCGGTTGGACTCCCTTCTTGGTTGCTGTAGTCTGCATCGTCTCCGGAATACATGTTTCTGATACCGCCGGTGAATGGTTAGTCGGTTTCGCCCTGCCCCTGACTTCAGCCCTGTATCCGATTTGCTACGCTGCCGCAACCTTCCGGTGTAAAGTAATATCGAGTTGTTATAACAATTGCAAAGCAAAGGGTGAGTGTTGGCATATACCGTTATTAACGTGCTGTTTTTAAAGCGTCAATGTGATGGTGTCATCAAATACAATCATTGATGTATCGAATATCAATTGTTTGTTTGTATTGCGTATCTCCACTTGTGACCCTGACTTGATTGGATACCTCAACACTGTTGTGATTGGATCTCATCAATCATCGCATAACTCTCATCTTTATGACGTCATGTGATATATGTGTAATACGATCTATGGCGTATCAACCAAAACAGTTGTTGATTTTGATAGTTAAAGTCGTTGATAACTAACATATAGCATAAACAAAGTCGACGTTTCTGTTTTTTCCTGGCGCAGAAAACAAATAAAGAAAGTGCCTAGTCGTGGCTTGAAACGTAATGTGACCTATTGTAATTGAACCATAGCCGACCATTATGTCTACCCAGTGATGGACATCCTAAACCTCAGTAAAGCATTTCCCTTCAATGGTCAGCGTCTGGTTACAATTGAGCCGCTACTAATTCTATCCATAATGTACTTTATTCACTTCCAGTTTCCAATCAAAATATTCGACTGAAACTATTGGAGTGGACGGGATCAAGCACTTCTGTCATGAGACACGTACATACCATTTCTAAGTCGCCGGAGCCCCTGGAGCATTGCAGTACTATCGTACCTTACTGCGAGTCTGCCCCCACACACGTTAGATGGATTGAGTCGTTAATAACATTCACAGAAGAAAGTAAAGAGGTATTAATCAATTAATAAATGTCTAGATCATCTTTTCGTTTTCTAAATTCAATCCTTTTTTAATTTAAAACCAAATATTTTCGTGGAATTTGAGACATTATATTTTCCCAGTTGAAATGCCAACATCAACAACAGACTAAATAATAATTAATGTAAATGCACTAATTATTCGCTGGGTTTTAATTTCACTATTTTCACCAATAAGTAAAATTAAGATCACGTGGTCATGTAAAATAACAATAGAACTCATTGTTTCACTGGCAAATTTGTGAATATAAAACCCAGTGAATATGCTTAAAATAGTGAAAATAAAAAAGTGCAAGTGAATATAAATGGTTTTACAGTACAATGAAACGTCGATTATCCGAATAGATAGGGGACATGCTTTTTGTTCGGTTATGCAAACAGTTCGGATATGTACTGTGTAACTAAAGAAATGTTCCTTGCATATTATGTGGGTCTAACGTTTGTCTAACTTTTGACATCAAATGTGTTTTAATTTATAGAGTACTTCAATTACCGAATGGAACGTACATAATCTCACAGAACGGGGAATGCTGAAGTTTTTCCATCCTTCTAGAGCAAAGTTTTGGGAGAATGAGATCAAGGTTCTTCTCAAAATGTCCGCAACCCGACAGCATCCGAACATTACCGAATACTTATGGCATTCCGACAGTGATCATACAGTGGTTAGAGATTGTCCGGCCAGTACATGGTGTCATTTGGCATATCATACTAGGTAATGAAGTACTGAATGTAGTGGTATTTGTTAAAACGACAATCTATAATTTAGTAGGAAAGTAATAATAAATGGAACGATCGTCTATGTATGTGTTTAGTTATCCCTCAATGCAATGCTACAACACTCTGGGAGTGCTACGTCACATACATGGCTAAAATGAATGACAAATTTAAGGCGATTGCTTCAATCTTTTTCGTATTAACCTAAATGTAAGTGCAATGACTTCAAAACCAATATACATTAAGAGAGTTTCAACAAATAACAATAATTTCTATACTAGCCCACTACACCCTGACATTGGCTTCACATAATACCATATACACAATGTTATTTACTACTGTGTTCCACTGCACAACATAATATATATACAGTCAATAAGTATTGTAAACTGTCAAGGTCTTGTTGCTGTGTGACACGTTTCTTCTATTCATCATTGTTGCCATTCTGGAGTTCAATACTCTCCGGAACGTAGGAAGTCAAAGTCACCAAATACCAAAATTGTTCTAAATATTTGTGATATCTGTTTCTAGGTATATTAGCACAGTCTCCTACAAACACGGGTCACTGAGAAGCTTCTTGATTAATCATAAAAGTAATATATCAGATGCCAATATTCATATGATAGCCAATCAGGTGACGGATGGACTGCGATATTTGCACGAGATAGGCATAGTGCACAATGACGTCACAGCCACGAATATTCTGATTGGCGGAGTTGTACAGGTTAGTGTAATATTTAATGTTTATTCATTATTGCTGATATATTTAGATATGGTAAAGAAATTCATCGCGAAAATGTTTTGTAAACTCGGTCAATATGCCAATGGTTTCGAAGCTCTCACCAACTGTTAATGTCATAGTATTTTCACTATTGTCAGTAAAAATACTGAGTACATACGTAATATGTGATCAGAATTCTATCACCCAAAACATAAATGTTTTATCAAATCTTGTGACCCAGCATCACAAGTGATTCTTTGTAAACAGTATTGCTTGGACACTTGACCAAACCGTTCACGCCACGGGTTTTAACTTATCCTGAACTCTTCACACTATTCAATGTAAACCCGTTTTCTGAAAAAGAACGTTGGTCATCATATTGTCAACGACTTGAAGAGGGGGAACAGGCGTGAAAACGACGTCAATAAAACGTGATCTTTATTGTTTCAAATTGTTTCCTGCGAAAGGTGCCCGGTCTTCCTGGGCTCCGCGAAATACTGAAAATACTAATCAGTTTTGGTGATACGAATTCCGGTCTGAAATCATTAAAAAAAACTCCCAAGATTGGATACAACAGGTGGTTTGTATGTTTTGAAACCCCCGAGTGTGCGTTTAGAATAGAATTGTTTATTGTAAGCAACGAGGTTTCAAACAACGCAACATAATCCACGGCTTTGTCTACGTGTTTTGTGATATTGGAAACATGCCAAGGCACATCGCGATCCGAAGTGGTAGTAGTAGTATAACCAAAATTAAAATTCAAAAGTTAATTGGCGTGAACTAAAACTACTTCTATCTAAACATCGTGAATAAACTGCTATTAATTGTTGATTTATACTTGAATCTAAAGTCGAAACTGTTGTCGAGATGGTTTCTACTGATTGCACTGCATTAATATTTATGAACAACGTTCGTAATGATTTGCCATCTACTCTGTTATTCTTCTAATTAAATATGGCGGACCCTTTATACATTCTGAATACGGTGATGATTTACATTATCTAAAATTAATATAATTCATCCATACCTGTAACGTTCACTGATACAAAATGATTTTCACCATTTTTTGAAATACATTCACAACAAAACTACTATAAAATCAGTAACTTTATAACTATGTTTGGCAGGTCACATTTGCCATAAATAACGAGCAATGCGTGTCTCGGAACAGAAGAAATAAACAAAACAGAGTTAGGAAGCGATATCTGCCTTAACTTGCTACTGTATTTCCCCCAAGGCGAAATGATTAGTCATTTGTTGTCATTGTTTATACGGATAACCAAAATTCGAACCGGATAATAATGACATGTCTAAACAACTCACATTGACTTGCATTGGAAAAAAATCTGCTTCTCAACAATCTGACTCGGCATCTTAATTACGGTTTTGCCACCGGATATTTGAGATTTCTTTTATACGCTTTTTAATCCCTGTCAATCATTGTTACCTGTCAATCACTGTATTTACTGTTCTTTCTAATTTAGCGATTTAGGCGATAAAAGAATTATACATCGCGACGAAATTGTATATGAAGCCATCTGCCTCTGTTTATTTTACCATCTGCAAATGGCGAATAATTTGATAAGTCTTGCAATGAAAACACTCAGTCATGAGGAAATAATAGTCCATGTATTCGCTCAATGGGCACACTATTAGCCAAACATACGTCCCGCTTCAAACAAATTGTTAATTTCGAACAATGCATTTGATAAATCTTCTGTGACCGGCTCTTGACCCTCTGACAATGGACACTCGACCGATCCACAGAACGACAAACACATTGCGTTGTTTCTCTTCGGGTTTAAATGATATCTTATTGGAAACATACATGAATGCACTGAACACGTGGACATATACTTGTATTGCTACATTCTGACCCGCCGAAGTATTCCCTCCCCACTCCCTCTGTTATTAAAACGACCATAAACGAAGATTGCACTAGGGTTTACTCGTGCGAAGTAAATACATGTACATTTCATTACACCGTTGCTAGATTACCAAAGCCGTAGAAAAATATAGCAAGGTTTGCTGTATGATGGGAAATCCATACTTTTACCAGTTGTAAAGATTACAATTTTTTGTATGATTAAACTCGATTTCAAGAGCTTTCTAACAATTCAATAACAGCCATCAGTTGCAAACGTCTGATTTTGTAATGTATTCACCGTTTAATATTTTGTTTAAAACCATCTGGTTACATACAGTATAGCCTGCTATGACGGTGATGATATCGACTCGATGACGTAATCTCAGCAAACTTATCGATTATGTAAATTGTGTCAGAGTGAATTTATTGATGTCGACAAACACTCCACGATAAATCATTTAACATCGTTGTTTGCATCATTGGACATTTCTGCTGGCATTGTGCATACTAAAGAGGAGGTCATTTCACACAAAGATACTTTTGAGAACTTCAATAATGTAGTTATTGATTATATCATTATTTGTTTCCGAATAGAATTCCTTACATGTTTCAATTTATGTTACAGACAATGGTGCTCAAAGTTGTGATATCGGATTTCACAAAGTCATTGGATACATCGTCATGTTTCAACAGTTCAGTGCCAGACCTACACCAGCGTCGCACGATAGCCATGCCACATATCCCGGACGTGAAAAGACGAGCGCCCTCTTGTGGCAATACGAACTTTTTTGTGGATATCCGCTCATTCGCGCTAGTGTTGTTCGAAATGTTGGCATGGTTACAGCACAGCAAGCTGCATTGTTCGCCAGTTAAGACTCTACCTCAACAAAGTAAAAATTCGAATCAAAAAGTAATTTATAACACGCCCGCTGGACAAGTCTCGTACAATTTGCCTGTCAAACCCAATAATGAAAGCGATAAACACTTATGTCCAATCCAGTCAAAGAAGTTGTTCGAGCAAATACATCGGTTATCGGTCTCTAACACCGCCATTATGCAGACCCCGTCAAGTATGAGTTCTTACAGTGGGGTATCTCAGTGTAGTTCATCGACGCCAAAACTAATACGCTTTACAGAAAAGACTAATATCACAACAAAAGCCATTGCTACCAGACCACTGACGTCACAGGCTCCTGAGCTGGAGAATGTTCTGACAGTGCAACAAGCTTCACACGAAAACCAAATGGATACCACGACAGACAGAGAATCACCGTCCAAATTTAGACACTCGCCTGGCAGTCCGTTTAAAGCTATACCTACGAAATATAACAACTTTGTTTACTCACCTTCAACACCTAATATGGAGTTAGTCGCAGACTTAGAACGGACGTGCGACCAATCCGAGGACGACTTTGAGGTGTGTGGAACAGGTAATGTGACATTAAAAGAAGACGTTATGACAAACCACTCATGGAAAAACGAGTCTAAAGTCTCGAAAACGACAAAAGCCATTGGAAAGAGAATATACACAGAGGCTTGGTTGCAAGATAGTGTGCAGTCGGTTAAACATTGTGACGCGATGATTCCAGCTGAAAATAAAGAACTCGGCAACCAGGACAGAATTTTAGTTCTCAGCCCAGATTCGAAAGTCTATTATGAGTACGAGACGGATGAAAACAGGAGCACAATAGAGTCAGTTGCAAGCAGCTCATTTATCACATCGCCTCAACGCGAATATATAGACTTTGGTCGTAAAAGCGATATGAACGTGTTGCATGAATTACACGAGGAACCGAACCACTTATATCTGGCGCGTACCAGTCGACATCTCAGTCGATTTCAAAGAATCCGTCAGAAGTCTCAAACCATGATGAATGGCGCGGGGAGAATGGCGGAGCCTGATTTGATTGAACAACTGCCAAACTGTCTTGGTGGTGTTGACGACGCTGATAGTGGCACTGAGACTATGACAGGTTGCGAAAATCCAGTATTTTCAGCGGCCGAGGAAACTGACGACTTAGATGAATCGTCTTCCTTTCAAAAGATGAAAATTGTGAACCAAAAAATGTTCTTCAAAACTGTGGAGATTCCGTCTGTGGATAAAGTTATCGGTTTCGGGGACGTTTCCAATACCGTAGTTAAACCAGAGGTTGCTACGATCTCGACAGCAAATAAACAACTCGTCGAAACACAAGATAAATGCAACGATAAATGTAAGCGGTTCTCTCAGTCAGATAGCGTGAGTAGTGCTGATAGCGGATTTTCATCAAGACACACATCGGAAAGTAGCTGCCCACCATCCAAGCCATCGGCATTGTATCGCCAGGCACCGATAAACGGAAACAGACGACTGAACTTAGCTCAACGGATGCAAAAGTTTGCATCTGCCAGGAAAAAAAAGAAACGCGCACAAGCATCGCCGTTTCATTTCAAAAATACACCTGGTTCAAGAGACACTATTTACGCAACGAATGCTGATTTGAACGTTCCCTTTCAAACGTATTCAGTGCTCAAGCAAGTGTTGGAAACAGGAACAGTGACTCCGGTTCCTAGCCAGAAATCGGAGCCTGAAATACCTGAGAAACTTGACACGAAAAAACAAGAGACAACTTACACACACGTCTCAGTTCCCGATAAGCAACAAATTCACTATGTAAAAATTCCCGTGACGTCGGTTGAAGCAGTCAATCAACAAGAAGAAGACAGGCCACAGAGCTCCCTTTCAAAATTTTACGTAAAAAGAACTAGTGCAAAACCGTTAGCAAAAAGACTTGCGCCTCAACCACCTTCCACCAAAATTGAACTAAAGGCAGGGGCGGCGGCGGTGGCGACGACGACGGTGAAACAGACACCACTATCTTCCAGTGATTCTACAAATACTAACAAATCAATTATATCGACGAATCGACCATCAAGCGGCAAGTTGAAGGTCGAACCAGTGCCAATATTAGTAAAGCCAACAAGTATTGTGACAGAAAGGACGTTTAACATGCGAGATATTTCCAATGTAAGGGCGACATGTAATGTTTTTAATGATAGCACAAATCTACTCACGAAAACTGCTGGGCAAATAAACACACCAGGAACTCGCCTAACAGACAGAAAACCAGTGAAACAAGTCAGAATATCGTTACCACCGGACTCGCTACATAAAACACAAATATTTGAAATACAAACAGATAAAACCAAGGAACTACCTCTATGCTCCCTACCTGAACGCTTGTCTATACCATCAAACACAGATACCGTCCAATCAGAAACTGACAAGCCGAATTTTGTCACAAGTGCAACCAAATCAGAAACAAATCCGGTGAACCAACCAGAAATCATGACTACGGGTTCGACTAGTAGTATTAACCAATCAGAAAGCAGATCGGCCAACCAATCAGGAAATAATGTGAGGAGTTCGATAGGAATTGACACGTTATTTGACATTACACTAAATCTGGATGAGATGGAAATGGAACTGGCTGATCCTCAAATGCCACCAGGAATAGAAATTCAACACCTGGAATATTGTCAAGAATTGAGGATGTTGTTTCCATGGTTACTGAAACGAAGCCTGTTGCCCTGGAATAAAGAGCAACTGAGTAACTTACTCTATCAGCTGTCACGTGAATCAGAAACCGGAAACCTACGACAAAATGTAAGTTTGTTTGTCTTGTTCTTGAGTGATACCTTAAGACGAGGGTGGGCAAGGTTTATTTTCGTTTAACGTAATTGCAATATTTTTTTGTTCGTACAACGTAAATTGAAAAAATAAATCCCGTAATTCTGTAATCACAGGCTAGACGTACAACGTAATCAATCAAATATTTTTTTCGTACACTGTAAAAATGTGTCATTTTCCTGGGTACGTACAAGAATTTACATCCAAATAAAAAGAGTCGTAAAGAATAATCCAGGGAAATTACATTTTCTAACCTGTAAAACGACTAGAGGACACAATTCACTGCAAAATTCAATTTTCACTGTAAACTGTAAAAACGTCTTTTTTCCTTGTAAATTGTAAAAAGCCCTTTTTATTTCCCGTAAAACTGTACCAGCTACCCCCCTTGTCCCCCCAAGACGTTAGATAACTATACTTGTAATTGACACTATATGTATTATGAATTCATAAAAGATAACAACATTTATTGGTTTTATTTTCAGTTGTTAGAAATCGTCTCGAACTGCTGGTCTCGACAAACGCCACCAACGGCTAAATATTTGAAAAGTATGCTGCTGGAATCTCTCCCTTCCACTGACATTTGAACAATTGTCCTCAAAATGCATCTGCAACTGTAGAGGGCGCACTGCCTGACACGGTATTTAGAATGACGTTTATCTGAGAGTAAATATCGCCTCGAGTGAACGGCATACACATACATACTTGATACATGATGGTCATATACTAGTACGCCAGACACATGCAGAATGGAAGACACTTGCCATATCCTCAAAACATCATGCATTTAACATAAACATATTTTACAAGTTCGGACTGAATCGTGAACTTGCTTCGTTTGTCTCCATTATTATTCATCAAATTCATACAATCTGAAATAAACACACTTACCACAAACCACTAAATCTAAATCAGTACAATCGATAGAGCTAAATTCAAGCAGCGTAGAATACCGATACTTCATATAATTTGTATCGTTTAAATCCATCTCAGGTTATATGTTAAGAAATAGATTCAGATTTTGAGATCCGTGTCGTTTTAAGGGCTTTCTGTTCCTTTTTGTTCGATATGGGACTCACGATGACGTATACAACGCGTGTAAAATACATTGTTTTTACATGAAATACGAACACGTACTACTCGAATCTATATACATGTACTCATTTCTTATAGAAGAGTCCAATGCCAACAGTGTACATTTGTTTCTAACTTTAAATGTTTCATAAGCTGTTGAATGAAACAATTTACTGAAATGATTAGAGATTACATATGCATGCATTTTTTATGTGATAGTCATATCGGTTTTTAAGGGAACTTATCAAGTACGTAAATTGTTTATTGAGAAGCTTTGCCTGGAAAATGTACAGACTGGTGTATTTGTGCCAACAATCTGGCGATGTACACCTCGTTTCCCACCATAATGAAATAATTGTGTTTTTCACTTTTTTTACAGTTTTCACTAGTTTGTATTGTATAGTTGGGTTTTCCAACACTTGTAAGATATTATTTATTATCTATGTATATGTATATATCTAATTATAAAGCTGCCAAATAAAATACTTGCATATTAATAAATTAAAGTTAGCGTTATTAATCACTAATTAGTGTTTTTATAAAATGAAACCCGACTAATCTATATCATGGAGATGTTTTACTTCCATAACTGTACTGCGAACAATTCTCGTTATCGACTCTATAAAAAGAAGCTGTCGAATTATTTAGGTATTCCTCTTTCAAGCAGATACATTGCGTCATTATCATTAAATTTTATCCAAAAAATATACAATAAAACTTTGTACCCAATTTAAAAAAGGCTCAAACAGTGCATCAGAAAGAAATGGCAACACCTCTACAAACTAATGTGGGATGAATTTGAAGGCATACTTATGATACAGGAAATAATTGAAATATTCAGTCGGCTGATGTAGCTCTGATCTTTGACAATCAAGATGTCCCAACACACTTGTTGGCTACTTCAAATATTTGGATCGTATTCTTTTGTTTCTACTGTCCAATTACCAAATTATTCCAGCTTTTCATGGAAAAGTCTCCAGTCCTGGTCGTAAGTTAATTTCCAACTTTTTGGGACTTTTTTTAGTTACCTGTAGCATGGTTCAAATGTAAAATCGTGACATTGTGGTTATTTCCCAAATGATATTTAGAGTCATCATCTACTACGAATTTCAGAGATTCCTCATCGAAATTTTTAGAAATCAAAAAAATCAATAATAGAGGGTAGCTTACTCCTGAATAAAGTAAACTTCCATTCCACACAAAGCAGAGTATTTGCTGGAATCGTTACAAAATTCAGTAGGCTTACGGCTTTATGATCTATTTAGGATGATCTTGTTTTCTGAAAATTCTGGAATAGTCTTGCAGTGCTTCTGGCATTGGAGTGAACATTATTATAATACAATGACCTATTTATAGTGTCATTTTGAAGTTTGAAGAAAAGTTCTTCGAGCCATGCTTCTGAATTGTTGATTCATGTATGCAAAGTTTGCGTCTGTCTTGTCTGCGCTTAGGCATATATCAGACATGAATACCTTGGTGTTTGGGGCCAGTTCCTTCTCTTCTCTGTATTCTATTTTAATTTCACTAAGTGTCTATCTCTCTCTTTAGGGACGACGTCAAAAGATCGATGTCGGATAAAAAAACTTATTTCCTTTAGTTTGGGGGTGGGGGGTTTTGACCTCAAAAAGTTTCCATCCTACAAAAACGATTTTATTTTTTAATGAAGTCAAAAAAATCTTGGAGTATTTGTAGTTCGTTTATTTTCTATCAGATCATGGACAGAAATAACCGAAAAGGAAAAAAAATGGTTTGGTTCAAGT